CTTCCCTCCTCTTCAGTGATTATACCCCACCCCTCAGCTGGCCATCTCTACCTGTAGAGGAAACATCACTGCCGAAGATGTTAGAAGACAGTTGGTGAGACACTTGCGAGGCTGTCAGGCCCTGACAGTGCCAGCCTGAGGATACTCAAAGCTTGTGCTTTCCAGCACTGTGGAGTCCTCCAACATGTCTTCAACATGAGCCTGTGCCAACAGAGGGTCCCTGTGATGTGGAAACCATTCTGCCTTGTTCCGGTACCAAAGTCACTACAGGCTTGTAGTGACTCCAAGGACTACAAGCCTGTGGTACTGACCTCCCACATTATGAAGTCTCTGGAGAGACTCATCCTGGAGCAGCTCCACACTTGGACCCCTTGCAGTTTTCCTACCTGCCCAAGCTTGGATTTGAGAATGTCATTATCTTCCTGCTGAACCGTGCATGTGCTCACCTGGACTAGCCGGCAAGCACTGTGAGACTCATGTTCTTTGACTTCTCAAGTGCATTCAACACCATCCATCTGGCTCTACTGGATGAGAAGCTGATGGCGATGCAGGTGGATCCCCCCTTGTGTCAGACAGTGTTGTCAGCAACACAGGAGCTCCACAAGGACTGTCCTCTCTCCCTTCCTCTTCACACTCTATACATATAACTTCAGCTGTTGCATTGTCATCTCCAGAAGTTCTCAGATGACTCAGGTGTGGTTGGTTGTATCAGAAAGGGTGATGAGACTGAGTACAGGGCTGCTGTGGACAACTTTGTCATTTGGTGTGAGCTGAACCACCTGCAACTAAAAGAAACGAAGACCAAAGAACTGAGGAGGAGGATCAGGCCACTGGTGACCCCTGTTACCATCCAGGAGGTCAGTGTGGACATTGTGGAGAACTATAAATACCTGAGTGTCCACATTGTTAAAAAACTGTACTGGGTCAAGAACTCCGATGCTGTGTACAGGAAGGGAAAAAGTCGCCTCTACTTTCTGAGGCAGCTGAGGTCATTCAACGTCTCCAGGACTTTGCTCGGGATGTTTTTTGACTGTGGTCGCCTGTGCCATCCTGTATGCTGTGGTGTGCTGGGGCAGCAGGCTGAAGGTGGAGGACACCAAGAGACTGAACAAACTGATCTGGAAGACCAGTAGCTTCATTGGAGTGGAGCTGGACACTGGAGTCAGAAAGAAGGATTCTGTCCAAGATCCAGGCCACCTTGGACAACAAGTGTCATCCATTCCATGACATGCTGGCCGGATGCAGGAGCACCTTCAGCCAGAGATTCATTTTGCCAAAGTGAACCACAGAGCGCAACAAAAAGTCATTTCTGCCTGTTGCCATCAGGCTTTACAATGCCCAAGTTTGTGCTAATTGATTCAAATTTTTTCTGTTCTCATTTATAGGTTATGTATTGATTAATATATTACATGTTAATATATTTTTAATCAATTCAATTCTACTCTATATATCTATATCTATAAATAATATTGCATGCCCCACTTTAAAGTTTTTTTTTGTTTGTAAGAAAAGTTTAAAATATCCAATAGATTTTGTTCCACCTCATGATTGTGTCCCACTTTTTGTTGATTCTTTTTTTTAAATAATCTTATTTAGTCAATCAACAACAAGACTTTGAACACAGGGACAGAGCAAAGCATTGTTTTTCTTCCCCCCCCTCCTTCTCCACATCTGTCTTTCCCCTTCCTTTTTTAACCTCCTTTTTGTCCTATCCCCTACCCCTCTCCATTCATTCATACCCGGCTGCAAACAATAGAAACAACAAAACAAAATAAAGAAAAAATATATATATTTACAAATACACAATAAAAACAATAGTAATAATCATATAGCTGAAAAACCACAAGAATGAAAACCCAGGGGACGAAGGCAGAGTTCAGAAACGTGGACAGCATGTAAACAAGCGTCCGCACAAGCGTGAGCACACATCTCAAGACAGAACATGGATATTTAAAACTGCACAGATTGACAAACACCGTCAGTCGCCTGAGTCACAAGGAACCTTCGAGGCCGCTGGGCCGGGGTGGCAGGTAGCTCGGTTTTATGAGACCTCAGTTAGGAATCTTGGCTTTACTTTTGATAGCTGTTTAAAGCTCGATAAACAAGTTAGTTCTGTTGTTAAATCGAGTTTTTATCACCTACGGATTTTAGCAAAAATCTAATCTTATTTTTGTTTTAAGGACTTTGAAGGACTGATCCATGCCTTCATTACCACTCGTCTGGATTATTGTAATTCTTTATATAGTGGCATGGTTAAATCACAGATTGATCCAGAATGCAGCGGCACGGCTTCTTACAGGAACCAGGAAGCACGACCATATAAGGCCTATGCTGGTCAATTTACACTGCCTGCCTGTTATGTATAGAATAGATTTTAAGATTCTTTTATTAACTTATAAAGTTTTAAATGGGTTAGCTCCCCCTTATCTTCAGGACATTTTAAAATTTCAGTCTGTGTCCAGAACTCTCAGATCAAACAATCAGCTTTTACTTCCAGTCCCTCGGACCCGACGAAGGAAAGGAGATCGGGCTTTTTCTGTTGTTGCTCCTAAGTTATGGAACAATTTGCCTCTTCAGATTAGATCTGCTAGCAGCCTGGATCATTTTAAATCGCTTCTCAAAACTCATTTTTATTCGTTGGCTTTTAACTGAAGCAATTTTTGATATTCTGTTTTTATCTATTTGTGCTACTGTCGGTCTTGTGCAGCACTTTGGTGCAGTTCTATACCTGCTATATAAATAAATTTGACATTGACATTTGACATCACTTCAGAAAGAAAAAGAAACGTCTGCCATCGGATGTTTATTTTACAATGCAGCGGTTGTAGAACACCTGGGCCTCCTCTGGCATTTCAAATAAGTGGCTTTCTCCCTTAAATGTAATTTTAAGATGGGCCAGGAAAGGAAGACGAAATGACACACTTCTCTGGTAAAGAGCTCCTTTAAAGTCATTGAATGCCGACCTTTTCTTTTCAAGAGCGATGCTGAGATCTGGATATATTCTCAGTGTGGTTTTCTGGTGCTTTACTTCATGGTGCCTGGACCATCGTAATGGTGGAATGCCACGATGAAGGGCCATGGTGGTTGTCCTGCAGTGGGCTTGGGTCCAGCTGTGCGGTGTGCCCGCTCCAATTCCGGGGGAGAAGAAAATATGTCATCCCCCATTGCATCCTTTAGCAACTTGGAAATGAACTTAGTTGCATCCTGGCCATATTCACTGCCTTCAGGTATGTTAAATAAGTGCAGATTGGACCTGTGAGATCAATTTTCCAGGTTTTCCAGGCATTCCAACAAGGTAGCGTTTTGGGCCTGGAGAGACTTAACGGCAGCCTCAGCTTTGAATATGCGCTGAAAGTTATCGCCTGCCAGGTTTTCCGCTGCTACAAGGTGGCCCTAAAAAGAGCTCACATCGTCCCACAGCCCGTCCACCGATGTTTGCAGAGGCCGAATAAACTCTTGAATTAATGTGACCACATCCTCTTTAAAGTTGTTCTGCTGCTTGGATACTTCTGTGACCAGTTGGGACATGGAAAAAGAATCTATGCATTTACTTTCGTCAGGTGTTTCAGTGTCGGAGGAAGCCGCGGCCATTGAGGCTACCTTGCTAGCTTGGCTATTCATTCGCCTGTTGAAGTAGAAAGTTTTTGTTTAGGATTATTGCTGGCCATTATAACGACGCCGGCATTCAGAAACGGTGCTTCTATTGGTCCAGTGCTTGATAGAAGTGTATAACTCCTGTTTTAAAGTAATTCAACAAAAGTTGGCCTGGAGCTCCTTCACCCTGCTTTCTTCTTCTACATCGCCAAAGCTTTTCTTTTTGTTGATTCTTTACAGAATAATAAACATTTCAGATTTTTATATTTGAAGCCTGAAAAGCGACAAAAGGTTGAAAAGTTCAAGGGGGTTGACTAGTTTCGCAAGGCACAGTATCTTTTAAGAATTGTATTTTAATTCTTTAGTCATTTAACATTAGTATTGTTCAGTCTGTTAAAACGTATAGGTCAAGGAGTCTCTGAAGAATCAGTTAGATAGGTTTCCTTTTGACCTCTCCTTGGAAAAGTTCCAGTAGGTTGTCAGTGACTAAAATAAGGCACCAGTGTTTGTTAACAGATAACAACAGATAGTTTAGGTAAATACAGTAAGATGGAATAAGCCCTAAGGTCTAACAAATTTCTCCATTGAATGTTACAAACTCAGAGTATGTACAAGGTCTTACAATGTTTTTGGTATGGAAAATTGTTCCATTAGCATCCTAATTTTTGGAAACTCCCATATTTTGAACGAGAAGATGTTTGTCAACTAAATAATGAACTGACCTTTCAGTAAGGAGAGATGCATCCTGTCCATCCTGTGGCTACTGACTGGGCATTAAACCTGTTCAACTGGCTCTGGGCCAGGGAGTGACCACATTGTGTAAAGAATCCTATATATTGTGAGAGCTTGCAGCTCCAAGTCAGAACTCACTGTAGGTACAGTTGTTGTGTTGTGGTTGCTGTGTGTTCTCTGTTTGCTAACGACAGAGAAATAAAAGAATTATCCGCTTTGCTATTTTCCAGAATCTCAAGCCTGATCTGTTCCACACAGATTAGATTCTTTTTCTCCACAATATATATTATGTTGTTTGAGAAATATAGAATATGCCAACCATGTATGATATCATATATCTTACCAATACAATTTCCATTTAAATTGTAATAAATTATAGTGAATGTTCATAAACAGACATTTTATGAACATTCATATTTCAAGATATTTCACATTGACATGGCACTCATTTGTATATTTTGCAATATGTATCAATATATTATATGGATATATAATATCTGCTAATACATGTATCTTCAATATATATTTCAATGTACTTACCACATATATTAGAAATTTAAAGGGGAAATAATATTTTAGAATTTATTACAATAAATTTCCAAATATATTTTGTTTTTAAAAGGGATAATATTGTAATTGATAAACAATCCCCTGAATAATTCCCCATCACTTACCTCTCACCAGGGCTTTGAGGAGAATTGTGTCGAAGTCATCAGAGCCCTCCTGCTCTCCATGAAAAACAGTAATGAGATCTCTCCTCTGATAAATACTCCAAGCCTGGATAAACAAAGGCAAACAATTGTTTGAAACAATGTAATACTTTATAATTAATGCCTGATGCATTCAGCTAACGCAACAGGTACTCCATCCATCCATCCATCCATCCATCCATCCATCCATCCATCCATCCATCCATCCATCCATCCATCCATCCATCCATCCATCCATCCATCCATCCATCCATCCATCCATCCATCCATCCATCCATCCATCCATCCATCCATCCATCCATCCATCCATCCATCCATCCATCCATCCATCCATTTTCACAGGTCGGGTCGTGGGGGTAGCAGTTTAAGAAGGGAGGCCCAGATTTCCCTCTCCCCATCCACTTGTTCCAGCTCTTCCAGGGAAATCCCAAGGTGTTCCCAGGCCAACCAGGAAACATAGTCTCTTTCCCCGGGGCTTCCCCCTGGTGGTAAATGCTCGGAAAACCTCATCAGGGAGGCGTCCAGGAGGCATCCTGACCAGATGACCGAGCCGCCTCTACTGGGTCCTCTCGATGTGAAGGAGAGCAGCTCTACTCTTGAGTCCCTCCCAGATGATCGAGCTTCTCACCCTATCTCTATGGGTGAGCCTTAGAGATACTAAAACTGATGTAATTAAAAATAAAAGCACAAATATACAGTCCCCTCCAAAGGTATTGAAACAGCAAGGCAATACTGTTATCATGCTTCGTTTTTGTTGTACACTAAAGACATTTTGATTAAACAATCAAACAGTGGGTGGTATGTCCTGAGTTGTTTAATACGTCTATATGTGAAAACCAGAAAATAAAAGCTAACATTCTGAACTCTGGTGTCATGCTCTTGTTTTGATATTAAACTCAAATATCTTCACTGTACAACAATAACAAAGCAATTTGTTATTACAGTTCCAATACTGTAATAACAATAATAATACTGGGCAGGCGCTGATTTTTCTCCATGAAACCATGGAGCCCATCCTTGCCCATATGTATGTCATCAACAGCTCGACATATGTATGTCGATGTCATACATATTTTGTTTTTGGAGGGGCTATACATATAGTTTTTTCTTTTCTTTAAAGGACTCATGTAACAATAGACTTTAATAAAATATTGTCACATGAATGTCACCATGTTGTTCAAGCTGCAAAGCATTCTGTGTAAGGGATGTCTTCTTGGTCAGATTGCGTTAGCAACCAGCCAAAACAATGATATGAGGACGTGGGTTTTCTGTCTATGTATTGTGGTTAATTATTTTATTGCTCAAACAAAACAGGTGCATTTTCTGATGATACTCAGTTGCACATTCCTCAGTTATAAGTAACTGTCAGTATTGTACAGTATGTAGCCCTTCATTTGGTTTTTCTGTTTTATCTTTGCGTGAATCTATATGCTTCAATTGTTTCTCATTTTGCTGTTCACCTGAGGACAGCTGTTTTGTGTTCTGGGGTTCTTTGTTTTCTTCGTGGGGTTATTCTGCCTTCTGCTAACAACATTCAACCACCAGATAGCGCCAGACTCATTTCTCTCCAGAGTGGTGTGTCATCATTCTGTGCACCTGAACTCAATCCACTCATCAGGCGAGAGCTAGAAGAGGAGTGGACTGCCAGTACTGCCGGTACTGCCCCATGAGAGTACCGCCCCCATTGAGAAACGGGTGTTGTAACAGGTTATTTTTTTGTTTTTCAGAGTACCATTCATTCTTGTGCATATTTTCAGACATTTAACTGTCACAACAGACCATCCTGTGGGCATTGGTTAAAGCCCCAGAGTCTGACAGTGGGTTCACAACTACACATGTGCTCAACGCACCAATGGCGCATTAATTTTAACGAAAATGTTGCGAATGTTTTTATAGCATTGACGTGCAAGAACAATCTGTATAACAGAACATTTTTGAAGACATTTAAAAGGGGCCTGCCAAAATGTGCCCGTTGGTTGGAACCCAGCATTCTGATGATAAAAATTAGCATCAATGTTAAGCTGAGCTGATGTGTACTAAATGGCATGTGGAATATATGTAAGGAAAAGACAACATATTTTTTACTTACTTTAAATTATGTCAGTTTTGGTCCTCCATATAAAACAGCACTTGTAAAGAAAGAAATTGTATTCTCTTGACCTCAGAAAATGTACTTATGACTGTTCTGGTTTTGCTATATCTGTAGAAGCTTTGTGTGTTCTTTTTCTGCTCTGTCTTCTTAAACCCCACACAGACGTGTCAGATGGACACTTATCCTGAGCCAGGTTCAGGCTCTGCTGGATTTTCCATTACTGCCAAGTGTGTTCAGGAGGAGGGAATACTGTCAATGACTCGATCCAGTCTGCTGTGCTTCCTATTTAAACTACTTTGAATAATTGAATGAGCTTACTATACTGTTCGATAGCAAGCATAAATTGAAATAATTCTGTTTGTAAAGTGCCTTGAGACATTTGTTGTGAATAGGTGCTATATAAATGGAATTGAATTCAGCTACACAAAGGAAATTGGGAGGAACCGGAATGGCTAACAGTCCCTCATGACAAAAATAAATAGAAATGCCAAAGCAAATAGAGATTACTTAAGTGGCTTTGTTCAAGGTTTTCATGGTCATGTGACAAAATATTTCTTTCACTCCTAAATGAGTCATAGTTTCTTATCCTCCCTTGTCCTGTTTGCCTCACCTGTAATTAACAATTGCATTTGGGTCCACACCCATGCTTTCTAAGAAAACACAACATGGACTATCTAGGAACTTACAGTATTGACCAGTTTTTCCAACTCGGCCTCAGCTGGGAAGTGCTTCTGGATCTTCTCACGAACCCAGTCACAGAACTCTGTGCTGACACTCTTGATAGCCTCCCCATCTGCTGCCGGAGAGGCAGGGCTGAGGGCCATTGCTGATAAGTCCGTGATGAAATCTGCTGCCTTACCAGAACCAGCAAAAACCAACCAGGGTGTGGCTTTTTTGAGGGATGTGTCTATTCTCTGAGCCAGTTAATGACAAAAGCACACATTAAATTACTACAACAGAGTACTGCAAACTGTAGAGTGTGACAGAGAACAAGCGGGACTAGCATAATCAAAGTATTGTCAAACATTTCAGTAAAAGTATTCTAATCCTCAAAACAATGTTTGACAGCAGACATTGTAGTACTTTGAAGAAAAAAGGTTAACCCTTACCCAGGCTCTCTTCTGGGGGCCTATGATGAGCCAGGTTATTGTCAACTAGTGTTTTAACACTGCATCTAGCTGAAGATTCAAGTGTTACGAAATGAGACAAGATTTTAACAATATTTCTGGGAAATCTAACAATCCCTAATATTTTGTTTTAGGGAATTTTAATCCATCCTTCTAAGTATTAATTAAAAGGATCAATCCTTCTTTCTAAGACTGTTATTGTTGCTGACTAGTCTAGTCCAGGTTTAACTGGTCCATATATTTTTTATGCTTGTGTATTTTAGAGGTGAATTAGAAATGAAAGTTTTATGTTTTCCCATAATACAGGTCTCATAAATGTTTGAAAAATTCCTGTTCAGACTAAAGATCTTCAGTTTAGCTTTGTCTAGTCCAGTTAATATAACTTAGTAAGAGTTTCTAAAATAGTGGTGGACCAGTGTAGCTGGATCACGATTCAAAGGCATTTTGTCAATGCAGACTCCCATGTTCTCTCACTTTTTTAAGGACAGGTGGGACAAAAACAATATTCATCTGAAAGTAGAATAAGATGTGACATTTTCTTCCCATCAGTTTTTAGTGTCACCTCCAGTACCCCAGGTTTGCAGCCATTGTATACCCAGCCCTTTCTGTACTTTCTATTCCCATTATCTTTAGGACAAAGATTTACTTGTGTATTGTTTGTCCATGGTGACCTACTCCATTGCTTATAGCTGCAGAGTGTGGTCTGAAGTGTCAATGCTGAGAAATGAATATTTCTCAGGATAGGGGTTAGGGTACCCTAACCCTAGTGATGAAAGATGAATGTTAACATTAATTAATTAATTTAAATTAATGTTAAGGATGGCTGTGTGTGGAACAATCCCCCTTGGGTCAAACATATTGGACTTTGTGCAAACATTTCCGAGTACAAAGTTTGTCCTGCCTGCATTTGTAGTCTAGATCAAAAGTGCGGTAAAAGAACATGTCTTGATGATTTATTCTATTGTTATTGCTGTACCTTGCTTTGGAGTCTGAATGAACTTGCCATAAGTTATTATAGAGGCGTGCCGATCGATCAGCCGATTTCCGTGAAAAAGTGTATAATCTTATTTATTTGACTAATGTATAATTTATGGAACTTACTGCTAAATATTATTTACTGATTGCAGGTTTTTCAGTTGTCATTTTGACTGAATAGCTGCTGTATTTTGTCTGCAGGTATTTTGCATGTTCCGTGTCTAAATTAGGTGAATTTATTGTCAGATCATTTTTTCATTTTGCTTGATCACATAGCAGCTTTTACATCTAAAGCAAAAATTAACAGCCAAGCCAGCAATGATCGGAATGGGCGGTATCGGAATCGGCAGCAAAAAACCCTGATCGGAGTATCTATCGTGATTAAATATAATAAAACCAGCATTAGTTTATCACTAAAACTAAATACTTTTTAGCAACTGGAACTCTTTTCCACTTTCATTCTCACAGAAGTTGAGATCTACGCAATTTATTTAAAATTTATTACAATTCCATATTTGTCAAAATATGAAATACTTTTACTTAGCTCTAAAACTGTACCCATCATAAGACCATCTAAATGGGTAAAACTCACAGGACAGTGGAAGGTTCTGGTAAATTAGGTTTTTGACAAAAATGTTCCAGGTCACATATTTGAAAAAAACCCAGACCTTTAGAAACAATCATTTGCAGTATGTAATGCAGTGCTGAATTCATGAATGAGTTTCCTCACCTCCAACATTCTGGTTTCTCCTGAGATAAGCATGCAAATGACAGGAATTTCAATACTGCCACTACCTGTTGTTGGGTGAAGAAAACAAAAATATAAAGCTACATGAAACAGAAAATATATATCTTATATATATATAAATCAGAAAAATTTTGAGGCAATGTCTATGTGTCATGTTCTGTGTTTTTCTGTGTTTATCTGAGTTTTCTGTGTCCTCGTCTCCTCGTTGTCCTGTCTTCCCCTTGATTGTTCCCAGGTGTGTCTTGTTCCCCTGATTACCCTCAGTGTATTTAGTCCCTCCCGTGTCCTTTGTTCCTCATCGGGTCCTTATCGTATTTTGTCATTTGTCTCTGTTTGACCTTGTTGTCACTGCCGTCGTTTGTTTCAGCCTTTATGACCAGTTGCTACCGGTGTGAGCTCTGGCTTTCGCTCAGCCGTGCTGCCTGGCCGCAGACTACTCTGTTTGACTGTTGTTTTCTGGACATTATCTTCAATTAAATTACCACTGTTCACTTTACCTGGGCCTCCAGCATCTGCCTCAGCATCTCCACCACACCAATTCATGACACTATGACTAAAACTCATTTATGTTTCCCTCTTCTAATAGATAAAGATGGCAAAAGATGATAATCTGCTAAAGATCAAACTGCTGTCGAGCAATAATATTTTTATGAAGGGGTACTTGTATTACCTTACGTGACATTTTGGTGACATATAAGTTACATTAGAAAGATTGGCATAAACAGCCAATCTTTGTTGCGTAATGGATCATGCAACAAGTGGGTGGATTGTCTGTTTCTCTTCCTTGGATCACGTTTCATAAATTGTGGAGACCACAGAATCCAGCAACAGCAGTTGGAAAGATGTCTCACGTCTGATTATTTCCTAATTACTGTCTCGCACAGGAAAAAATAGGCATGATATGCTAACATGCTGTACAGTAGCCCACAGGGTCATCTGACCTTTGAAGCTGTGGTATCATTGTGCTGAGGATAATTAGAACACAAAAATAAGTACCCAATTTGATTGACTAGTGCATGGACTACCGGAAATGTAGCTCTCCAAATTCCTGCACGGTCAATGTTAACATGTCGAAACATTGTGTCTATGATTTAAATCAACAATCAGAAATGAGAACAATGAGATATGAATAGTGTGCATGCTTCTTAGCTGCTTACATTATAATTTGATTAGCTGATGCTTTTTATATCATAATGTTACTTTCGCAGAATTTTTTGACACTTATGAAATAAAGTATGTCAACCTCTTTTCCTGGAAAAACTTCATTAAAGACACAAAAGTCCATCTCACCCCAGATGCCTGTGCGCTGATGGGAAATGTAGTCTTCCAGATTAAGTTGAAAGACTGTCTCTCCACCTCGCTTGCTGATAGTCCCATTGTCCACCAAGAGGAAAGCTTGGCAGCTGTTGTCCAAAGAGTATGTATCATGTGTTGTGTTCTGGGCATAGTAACGAGCTGGGAAACTTCCCTTCAGACCGGCAACACAAGAATCCAGTGGTTACCAAAGCCATTGTTTTCATGCTGAGTTTTATAACATTAGACACTTCACACTCTGCAGTGGAACAAAACACAATAGATTCAGTACCTGGGCGTTGACAAGCTGCTGTCTGTTGTGTACCAGACCCCAAGGTGTCACACCAATCGCAATGACTTTTTTCTGGGACACAGTTGAAGCTGCAGCCCTATGGTCTTTCACAGCCTCTCCAACACAGCGGGAAATACCCTCTTTCAGACCCCCTGTCAAAATCCATGCCCCTGGACAAATACTGTTAGTTACAAGGAAGTATGGATTGACTATAAACATGTAGGAAATATCAAGCAATGTAATCAGTTAAAGGCATTAACCTATGGCATGAGGGCAGAATCATTCAAACCGTCAATGTTTTTTCTGAATGTCTAAATAATATGAGGAAGAAAACATAAGTTTTGGTGATGTCGTTGAGATTTTTCAGGGATGTACAAAAATACAATTGTACTTAAGGTTATTCACCCCGACTGAAAATTAGGTTTGTTGCCAAAAATTAATTATTGGAGCTCTTTGCCCTGAAAAAAATGAAGCAAGAACAATTATAGCTCAATATGATTAATGTTGAAAGTATTTTCTCCAAGTAAAAGACAAAATGCCAGTTTTAAGAACTACTACAATCTCACAATTGTTTAACGCCTTCATGGCAAACATTATTACTTTTTAGAGCACCCTATTGCTATTATAACCTGCTACAAATTGAATTAATAGTTAGCCACCAGGTCCAAGTAGGTGTAGGGGGCCGTTTTTGTATTTATTTCTGTAGCAAAATGTGATTAAATCAGAGATGGACATGCTAGCATCCAGATAGCTTGTTCAAAATGTCACATGGCAACAACCTTCTAGGTATATATAGAAAATGGACGGATGGACAGACAGATGGACGGATGGACAATAAAATGTCAGCAAATGCTCATTTACAGTTGTTAACTCCACATGGCAACAGTATTTTACATGGGGCGTTTATATTTTTGTTCAGTATATTTTGTCATTGTATGAATGCAAATTATGTCAAATGAAGTTTTAATTTCTTTGCACTGCTATTTGCTGTTTCAACTGATGTCACCAAGGCAACAGTGTGATGCACAGATTGGGACTGTTGTAAACTATACAGATTGAAAAGACTTAATAAGCAAATTTTAGCCTATCCTTCGCCAGATAATCTATCCCCCCACATACCAAATGTGTTAACTTTTGACTTAAAGATGGATTTGAGATGATGGCATAATTTGAATCATTTTAGTTTCAGTTGTTCCTTTTATGCGGGAGACCTGCACGCAGGTATAATGTGGCACTAGTTTGCTTAGTGTCCATGACTGTTTACACTGTTGTTCAAAATGCAAATTTAAAAAGCGTTGTTAAAGGATCCAACATCTATTAAATCTTAACATTTAGGTGATTCGTCTGGTCCTGGAATAATACATTAAGCATGACATAACTGCCAGTCCTTCTCTGACCATTCAACACAATTTTGAATAAAAAATCAATGTATTGTTAATCAAAGTTTCCGTGTCAAACATTAGCTGGATCCATGCAGAGTGATGGCTTCTTACCTGTACTCTGTGCAGCCCTAACTAGCCCTTTTCTTAGGATATCGTTCACCCACGGCTTAATCTTCTCATGCCCCTCACTTCCCACCACTGACACAACAAGGTTGGGGGAGGGTAGGCCCCAATGTTCTGTCATCAGATTGTAGACGATGTGTGGAGGTGTGTCACATGATAGACGCAGAAACTGAAAAAGACAGAATAGTTTTAATCCACTATTGGAAGAAGTAAATCTCTCATGTAAAAAAAAAATAACAGGGAAACAAACTTCAACCTAATTCTGGACTAATTCTGAGAACAAGTTCTAGTAGTCTGTGATGGATTGATGACCTGTCCAGGGTGACCCCACCTCTCTCGCCCACTGACCGCTGGAGACAGGCACCAGCACCCTTTGCGACCCCACTAGAGATAAATAAGCGTGTATGGTAACGGATGGATGGAGTTCTAGTAGTTTGCTGCTCTAGAGTGCACAGATGTGAAATAAAACCTTGAAAAACATAATCAATGAAGCAACATTTGCTTCCCAACATTGTGGAAAGTTTAAAAGAGTCATATGGCACAGACATCTGGGTAGGATTTTAGAAATGTTCTCTCTTTTTTGTGCTGATAAACACTTTATTTAATGTAAAAAAAACACATAAAAAACATTTTTTCTATAGGTGGATTGGTGGTTTGAAATGTACATTGTGTATAGAAAATGAATGCCGCTCTGCTATTATTTGATAGATCTGACAATACGCACTAGACGAAGTATTAATCTAGGAGCAGAAGAAGAGCTTTAAGCTCTGCCTGTGCCGATTGGATACATATATTAATCAACCCAGTCTGTGTGTATGAATATTTGTGAGTATACTGAGACAAAGCTACACACATGGCTTTGTCTGCGTCCAGCTCCAGCAAACTCCAACTCTCCAAAAGCATCTGTGGGATATTCAGACGAGTGCTGCTGGCTGTCCCACTGGGTAACACTTGCTGCTCCGAAGAAGTCTCCTGTTGCCACAGAGTCATGCAATTCTCGCACCCCTCCACAATGACAGAGCCCACTGTTACTGTCACATAGAAAAAATATAAATCTGTTATTCCGTGGCTGATACAACCTCCCATCATGGAGAGCTCAAGGGTTATATTAAACTTTAGATCAGGCATGATCTATATATGCTTATTTATGGTTAAACTGTCCATATATTCAGTAGTATATGGACAGTGATGTGAAAAAATATAAAAAAGAATTTTGGCATAAATAGAAAAAGCTGATGTTTTAGAAAGTAAATGATTTAATTCATATATTTGTGATACAATGTACCAACAGTCATTCCACATCATGTAAAATGTGACAAAATAAAGCAAAGCCTCTGAACATTATACAAGTAAACATCTAGTTTGTGTCTGTACATTTATGTTCATCATTCCTCTGTGAACTATCTGTAGAACCACCTTTACAGCAGTTAGAGCTGAACGTATTTTAACACGTACAGACTGAGGATTTTGCATTTATCTTTGCAAGATGGGTTAAAGTGGGTCAGAGTGAATCAAGAATGCCTGTGAACAATTGGCACAGATTTTCATTTCAGATGGATTCTCAATTCCAGTACACTGATTTAAATGACAGTATTTACTCTTCTGCATGCCTTCATGTGTTTCAGAAATCTATTAATCACAAATTAACTTAGTTCATGTGTGTGACATCATGGAAGCACTTAAAAGAAGGAAGAAAGTTCATATTTATTACATACCAAGCAGTGTGCTCTGAGGAGCAGGAATGCTGAACAATTTTATTCCATACATCAAGCACCAATGGTTTGTCTATTGCATGTTGTTGTTACTGTTATTTTGTAAGCCAAACATAAAAATAAGGGGACACCTACTGTAAAAAATAAAGGCCAATTTGCTCATAAAAATGATATCAATTTGGAAAAATAGGTCCAGTTTTGGAACTCATCGGTGGAGATTTTTTTAACCTGTCAGAACACATGTGGATTTGGATTATAGGATTTACAAGCAAATTAGAAATTCTTTACCATACCTATAGAGACTTTGAAATCAAGGAGAATGGAAGTGTTTTAAATAAAAGTGCTTTTTGATTAGCTCATGTAGTAAATATTGTGAAATACAAATTTGGTCGAAAAAATCCGATAAACCATAAAAGAATAAACTTTTACAGCTTACCTAATAATTAAATGATTCAATTAACTTTTGAGGTATTTTTTTTTTCACTTTTCTTTACAGAAGTATTCTGACATGATTGCTATAAATGACAGCCATTAAGAACACTCTAAACCAAAAACAAATTAAAATTAAAATGAAAAGAAAATTACCTCAAAGTGTTTTCAACAAAAGTTGTGCACACTCTTTTCTTGATGATCTTGGGAATCCAGCTCTAGGAACATAAAGACAATGATTATTGTACAAGAGAGATTTCTGTGGTACAGCTAATTAGTCTTTATTGTTGAGCTCAGAGTTTCTAAGTATAGAATGATACATTTTAAAAAGTAGAGCCATTTTAAAGAATGAAGTAAACCAAAAAAATTGGTGCAATATTACAGTTAAGAATGCATTTCAATTGCTGATTTTCTCAATTATCCAGTACCATTGACCAAAGTTCAATGGTACTGGAGTCAGACCAAAATGTAGACAGGAGCTTGGGATCCTTATAAAGTGCATATGTAATGAATAACAGTTGTGAGCTGTGAGGGCAAGCAGGGCCTTCTCTGCTAGCTGTGGAAAATTGAAAAAACAAAACAACAACAAAGAAACAACTGTAAAATGTTATGATCATATTTAATTTTGTTTGTGTTGAGACATTTGCCCATATGCAGAAGATGCTGTGACAGAGCACAACTGAGGCAGGTAATCAGCACTCATATTTGAAAGTCCGTTAAAAGTTCCAATTTGCATTAAATTGTCATATAAAAAATAAGACAAAGGTGGCCATTTTAATGTCCTTTTAATGCAATTTTTAAAACAGCTTTACATTAAAAGTGTCATTATTTACCGAATGACACTTCATGACAACAATCATAGACATTCATCACTCCTTCATGTTCATGTAATGTCAGTCCAAGTCACTCCCTGCCAAATAACATGTTACCAGTTTCGGATATTAGTGCTAGTTCTGTAACTTTTTTTGTTTTAATTCCTCATCTTGCACTGGAGAAGGGTGCAACAAACAAAATACTTGTTTTCAATGTTGATTAGCAGTTTTTCCCCAACACTGGTCCTCAAGACAAACTGACCTGCATGACTGCAATTCACTAAAATCCTGTTAATCAGCCACTAATTAAAATCACGTGTGCTGAATTAGGGAAATGCCTAAAACTTGCAGGGCAGTGTAGGCATTTCTTTCATTGCATTTTAACCACAAAACAACATTGATTCAATGACATCTTTTCAATATTGGTTACTTGGCTACAATTTGATGAGTGTTTGATGGTTGATCCACTGTCAGTTGTTGACCTCAACAAAAAATTGACCATTCTGACTATAATTTAACTATAATTAACATAAAATGCACTAAAAAATCCCACATAAAATATTCAGAAATACCAAAACGGACCATGCAGTCCATTACAATTTGATGTTTTTTGAATTGTCAGGCTTGATGTTTATTTTGCGATCATTAAGAAGTGATTGACTGAACACTCCTGGAGGTTGATGAGCTAATTTAAACACCTGCTCTATTGATAATCGTAATGAACATACCGAACTGTGCAGCACAAGTATGTTAAGTTTGTCAAAGATAAGCTCTGAGATAGTAACTTACTCCCCAATTTTTTTTATATTTTTTAATTAAAACTGTTTACTGACCTGTGAAATGTGATTCCCTTGGACCATGTTATATTGCAGTCATAGCGTTTACAATTAATAGCAAAATACTGATAGAAATATTGAGGCAGAGTCTTTTAGTGGAATGCCGTACTGGACCATACTGGTTTACTTTCACCCCTGAGTACTGAATACTTCGAAGTGGATAAAAAAGCAGGCAAGCAACATGAAAAAAGAAGCGAGAATAATAATATTGACATAGCAGAGGACTTTAAATATGAGAAGCAATGCATGCAAAAAATTTTCAGAGTGAAAAATTTTACAACTAATTCAAGTAAAGGCAAGACTGTGGTTTCATGTGAGGCAGTATGTGATGTTTTTTTCAGTCTTATTAGGTACACATGCATGATCTGGCCTGCAAAACCTTTTTATATAACATGCTATGAATGTTATTTTTATTACTGCTTCATAGCTTCCCTTTGGGTAAACATGACTAAAAGTTTACTATGATTAAAAACCAGTTCAACCAGTCTACTGCTGAATGCCCATGCAGTGGCTTGCATTCAGGTAGTCAGTCAAGTTTTCACAGAACTGAGTTTCTGTGAAAGTCGGTTCGTGGAACTAAACAAAAGGTTTTGATGGCGCTGAAGAAAAACCTTTCATAAACACAATAACTCAGTTTGTCCTGTCTTTAGTTTCCAAAGCTTGCAGCATCACACAACTACCAGAGATTTTTCATACACTCATGAAAACCTTTAACCTAACAGACATGTTTTGGTTCCTGGCTCTACCTGTTGAACCCTTATTTTGTCTGCTATGAGAAACTAAAATTTGAAAATGGTGAAAATCCTTTAACAAACATTTTTGAAGGTATATTTGTTTTAATTTTCAAGATTTCATATTGAAATTAAACTTAATGCTCCAATAGGACATAAGAGTTCGATTTAATCTAACTCCCATTGACAGAAGAAGAAATATGATTATGTCAAATTTGTTATACAGTCAGAGCACCAACAACTGTAAAGAGCTGACAGATTAATGGGAACTGTGTTTATGGACTCTACGCATTCACCTTCCTACCAAAAACAAGTAGTCACCCAGTTTCCAGTGTTTTAGAACAATGGTAGAGTTTAGTCAAGTCATTTTGGGAACTCTAAAGCAAAAACAAAAACATTTTACAGATCAATGCTCTTTGTTCTACTGATATACATCAAACTTCTTTAACAAGCTTACCAACTACTTTGCAATATGCGTGAGGAAAAAAACTTGTGTGCGTTAACTTGAGTGGCTCTACCTTCCTTTCAGCCCAGAAACGTTTTTTCTGCCTGCAGCTGATTCCAGCTGACATTCAGAAGGAATGTGATGCTGTTTCCCCTGACAGGGACAGGGTGAAATGTTCCCCCACTCGCTCCTACCTGATCCTTTTCTTTCTTGCTCCCAGCCTTTCCTCCGCCTCCCTCCTTGTCTTTCTCCAGCGGAGCCACCATGCTGTCCTGCGTCGGAATATCGTCTGCTCGTAAAGCTCGGGCTCGGTTCTGTTTGTCCAGCAGCTCCTCCCACAGCTTCCACCCGGTTCTGCCCACACAGATGTCACAGCCCTCGCTTCAGGAGGAAGACAGAGACAGAGGAAGCGTAAAAACTCTGGGTAAAACATATTGCTAGACACTGTACAAAAATAAGTCATTATCTTTTCAGACATGGTCAACTAGGTTTTTTTCCAGTTCAGCATTAACAAAATGGAAGTTATCTTTGGACCTAAAGAAGAACGATCTAGAGCAGTGGTTCTCAAACCCCAGGCTGCGGGCCAATGGACCCAATTTTTCAGTTGGTATCCGTATCCAGTCTTGTTGATAATTTGGCTGAGGGGGTTCAGGCCTATGCAGAACAGTAGCGGGGACAGAGCATCTCCTTGATATATGCCACATTTGATGGACGCTTGTGCAAGTGGTTTGCAGTTGGCTTCAAGGGTGGCTTTCCACAGCCTCATCGAGTTTGCAATGAAGGCTCTCAGAATCCTGTTGATGTTATACATCTCTAGGCATTCAATGATCCAAGTATGCGGCATTGAGTCATAGGCTTTCTTGTAATCGATCCAAGCCATGCACAGGTTGGTGTTTCGGGTTTTGCAGTCTTGGGCAACTGTGTGGTCTACGAGGAGTTGGTGTTTGGCTCCTCCACAATATATATATTATATATATATATATATATATATATATATATATATATATATATATATATATATATATATATATATAAATTCCCTTCTCACCCACCGCGGGTGGTTCTTATCCTCTGAGCTCGGGTCCTCTACCAGAGGCCTGGGAGCTTGAGGGTCCTGCAGTATCTTGGCTGTGCCAAGGACTGCTGCACATTTCTGGACTGAGATGTCTGATGTTGTTCCTGGGATCTGTTGTAGCCACTGCTCCAGTTTGGGGGTTACTGCCCCGAGGGCCCCGATGACCACAGGTACCACTGTGGTCTTCACCTTCCAGGCCCTCTCCAGTTCTTCCCTGAGGCCCTGGTATTTCTCCAGTTTCTCCTTTTTCCTGATGTTGCAGTCTCTTGGTATTGATACATCTATATATATATATATATATATATATATATATATATATATATATATATATATATATATATATATATATATATATATATATATATATTGCCTGGCCAAAAAAAAAAGTCGCCTTCAAAAAATGGTCACACTCTAATATTTTGTTGGACCACCTTTAGCTTTGATCACAGCCCGCATTCGCTGTGGCATTGTTTCAATAAGCTTCTGCAGTGTCACAAGATTTATTTTCATCCAGTGTTGCATTAATTTTTCACCAAGATCTTGGGAGAGTCTGACCACTGCGCAAAGCCTTCTCCAGCACATCCTAAAAATTCTCAATGGGGTTAATATCTGGACTCTGTGGTGGCCAATCCATGTGTGAAAAAGATGTCTCATGCTCCCTGAACCACTCTTTCACAATTTGAGCCCGATGAATCCTGGCATTGTCATCTTGGAGTATGCCCGTTCCATTTGGGAAGACAAAATCCATTGATGGAATAACATGGTCATTCAGAATATTCAGGTAGTCAGCTGACCTCTGTTAAGAATTCAAAAGAGGAATAACTTGATTTGGCTCGTTAATTCCCCTCTGATCCCGGATTCTTGAGCCTCAATATGTGCAGGGAGAAAGAGCATACGACATCAGACTTCAGATATCTAGAGCTTTATCCAGAGAATTAAAATGCATATAGAATGTTACAATAAGCATCTCACCCAGAAATCAACAGTCCACAAAAATGACAAATAGAAAAGAAAAACAAAGAACAAAGATGCATCTTTGGGAATCACTCATTCAGCACAGAGATTCAACTCCTCTGTTGTAAGCAAAGCTTTTTAAAAACTGTGTATTTCCATATGCAATTAGAGGGTGTGTTGTTTTCCTTTGTGGGGGCTGTCTTAATGTTAATTTCATTACCTCTGAGACCTACTGAAACACCCAGATCTTCTCGTACCAGCCTCTTGGACTGTGATTTTACGGCATGCATCTGGAGCGTTATCTCTGCCTCAAAATGATTCAACAAGAAACCAGTTGGTATTTTTAAACAAACTCACACAAAATCTATTGCTTAATACTAACTATAAGTTTGGATCTAAAATTAACTAATTAAAAACATGCTTTTTAATGCTTAAAGAAATATATTAATATGTTTGATTATACGTTGTAGGGACTTCTATAGTTTTTAATGTTTGCCTGAACTATTCAACCCTGAGTAAAGAATTTATTGCCCTGATAGCCAATACACTCCCTATCTGAAATGTTCCTTAGGGAGTATAAGACTGCTTTCTGATTAGAAATTTATGTAAGTTCAGAGAATCACCAGCTGCCCCAGCCTGGATCTTTATCTAAGTTTGTCTTAACGAAAAGGTTAGCCTGTGTACGATTGTGCTACTTTAAAACCATATTTCAACATTCCCCCTTTTGATCTCTTAAACAAGAGATCACCTAAAGTACTCGACCATACTTACCTGGGAGCAAACACATAAGGATTTAACAGAAAGATTAACACCTCATTCTTTGGGCACACAATGTTGCTGAACCTAGACCTGACCAACTGCAGCAACCCCAGATCATAGCACTGCCCCCACGGGCATGTACAATAGGGAATAGGCATGATGGGTGCATCACTTCACCTGCCTCTCTTCTTACCCTGATGCACCCATCACTCTGGAACAGGGTAAATCTGGACTCATCAAACCACATGACCCTCTTCCATTCCTCCAGATTCCAATCTTTATGCTCCCTAGCAAACTGAAGCCTTTTTTTCTAGTTAGCCTTACTGATTAGAGGTTTACTTATGGCTACACAGCTGTTCAATCCCAACTCCTTGAGTTCCCTTCGCATTGTGCGTGTGAAAATGCTTTGGCGTTCACAATTAAACATACTCCTTAGTTCTGCTGTTGTTTTTCTTCGATTTGATTTGACCAAACGTTTAAGTAATCGCCGATAATGATCATTCAGGATTTTTTTCCGACCACATTTCTTCCTGGAAGACGATGGTTCCCCACCACCCTTCCAGTTTTTAATGATGCGTTGGACAGTTCTTAATTCTAGTGGTTTCTGCAATCTAGTGGTTTCTGCAATCTCCTTAGATGTTTCTCTCCAATGACTTGACCCTTCTTGAACAGACTAACGTCTTTTCCACAACCACAGGATGGGTCTTTTGCCATGGTTGTTTAAGAAATGAGGAGTTACTCATTGCATCAGCTGGGGTTAAATAACTTGTTGTCAGCTGAAAGATAATCGCCTATGCAGTAATTATCCAATAGGAGGCTTGTACCTATTTGCTTAGTTAAATCCAGGTGGCGACTTTTATTTTGGCCAGGCAGTGTATTTATATATTGTCAAGAAAATCCGAGATCATCTCTCTTCTCCATGCTGGAGATTTTAGTTAATGGTAACAACAAATAAAGTTACCTTTAACATTAGTCACACAAGTGACATCTAGATCCAACAGTAGACCCAGACTGCAATAAAATAAATCTGGTTGTGTGTGTTGTTTTTGTCTCCTGCAAACTTAGCTTTAATTATACTTATTTTTCTATGTAATCATAAGAAATAGTAGTCTGAGAGACATGAGACAGGAAGTGACATGGTTTGATTTAACTTGCGGACCCACATGCAGGAACCACACACTGGATAGAAAGGTAAGTGATTTATTTACAACAGGACAAATAAAATTCAGTCCTCTGGACTTCGATAGGCGGCGAGGCCTGAAACGAGAGCTGAATTATAACGGGTTCAGAGTGTGAGTTCGGAGGAGGAATCAGGAGCTGGTTTACATTGGTGCGGATCTTCCAGAGCTTAGGGGTGAGGTGTCAGGATCCGGCGTGAGGGTGTGCAACGGTGCCGGGAGTGAGTGGGAGGAGAAATCACGGGTGGTTGGAACAGGATGGAGTCAGTGGAAACGGTGGAGCAGGCAGGCAATCTCAGGAGCTTCTTGAAACGAGAACACAAAAAGTCCTAGAAACGAACAGGACACGGAGAGTAAGTAACTTCGAGTTACACAACAAGGTTCTAGAAACAAGTTTTCAACAGGTGAGGCCAGAGTGACTACCGGTAGCGTCAACCATCTAGCGATGACTGGAGGATTCTGCCGCTCCTAAATTCCAGCACGCTGATGAGGCAGATCAGCGTCACCTGCGCTGGCTCCACAAACTCCTCACGAAGATCCTCGCTGAAGGAAGATGTAACACTCCCACTCACACTCTCATGCACACGCTCTCACACCGGAATCCTGACAGGAAGAGCAGGTTTCCTGGGAAAAGAGGTGTGGTGTTCCAGGGTTGTTGTGTTCTTTGTGGAGTTTTGTCAGCCTGCCACGCCTACATCCACTATCAGATGGCCTACTCTCACCGCCTTCCAGAGGAGTGTGTCGTGTTTCTGGCGCACCTGTAATCAAATCGCTCGTCAGATGAGAGTAGAAGAGGAGCAGACTGCCAGGACCTCGACGCCTGAGTGTTTTACCAGTAACGGTACCTCTGAGCCCTCTCTGAGCCAATCTCAGTGTTTTCTTGTCATTGTTGGATATCAAGTGACGCTGCCCTGTCGTTCCTTGCTTTCAGATCTCTCTCCCGAGGCGTTCTGGAACCTCCTGGTGAAATTGTGGAACCATCCACAAGCTGTCCGAGCACCCAGACTCACCTGCTCCATTTGCATCATAAATCCTCCTGGGAATCCCTGACCGGCAGTCGTATCGCTCCTCCGTCCTGCTCTCCGCCTGGTCTTGCCTGTCCACCCTCCGACCCACTCCTCTCTGGTTTCCTGGCCTCTGGTGACGGAGCTCTGATCCCTCAGAACCCGGAAGGAATTACACCCTGGACACTTAAGTTATCCCCTCCATGCCACAAACCATCTCACGACAAGTAAGACCTTTCCAATATTCAGCCAACTCTCCCGTCGCCTATGATTCCTGAACTCATCATTTCTCCACCGTCTTTCCTCCCAGTGAGTGACCGGTTCCGTGAA